ACAGATTTCCTAAATACTGTTTTCTCTGTAGTGCTTTCCTTGGCCCCTCACTAGTTTTGATCATTTTATGATTCTATTTTCTCTCCTCTCATTATCAATAACACTATTCTATATCATTTTCTTTAACTCTGAAGATCTTCTTTTAACATTTCTTACAAGGCAGGGAGATTTACTGTCAATACATCCCCCTACTTTTGTTTGCCTGAGCATATCCATTTCTTGCTCACTTTTGAGGATAATGTCTATAGATACAGGACTTCTAGGCTGGTAGTTTCTCTCTATAAACATTTTAATTATTTCATATTACTCTCTTACTGCTTCTAAGGTTTGGTATCTCTCCTACCACACCTCTGGCTTTTTTCAAGATTTTTTTTTTCATTTTCTTTGACCTGTGATTTTTTTGCTTGTTCATAAATTTCAGCCATTATTAAACATTCTGTCTTTTATCTTCTCTTCCTTCTCTTTCCGGTATTCTAATCACAAATATGATATACCTCTTGTAGGTGTGCCACGTTTTTTTTTTTTTTGATACTCTGTTTTGTTTTTTGTTCTTCTTTCTCTTTGCTATTTCAGTTTTGGATGTTTCTATTGACAGTACTCTAAACTCAAGGCTTCTTTCCTTGGCAGTGTTCAGTATATTAATGAGCCCATCATAGGCATTCTTCACATCTATTAACAGTATTCTAAGATTGATTGATTGATTGTTCTACCCTCTCTCTTTGCCACCCCCTTCCCACAACCCCTCTAGTACCTATTTTTTATTCTTTAGAGCTTACATCTCTGCTTCTATTACCTAGATGTTCTTAAATATTATCCACTTTTTTTCCATTCAGAGCCTTAGGGAATTAATCATAGTTGCTTCAGATTCCCAGGCTGATGCCTTTTTTTTTTTTCTGGTACCAGGAATCAAACTCATGTCCTTGCACTTTCCAGGCAGGCGTGGTGCCAGCCACTGAGCTACATCCCAGCCCTCTCTAGTAATTGTATCTGGTTCTGATGCTTGCTGTGTCTCTTCAAATAGAATTCTTTGGCCTTTATTTTGCCTTATAATTTTCTGTTGAAAGCTGTAGTAGGTAAAAGGAACTGAGTTGAGTAGGAATTTAGGGTAAGGCTTTGTGCTTATCTGGTTAGGAGTTAAGCTGTTTATTATTCACTTTATCTGTTGGTGTCAGAGGCAGACTTTCAACATGGATCCTTATCTCCCCTATTGCCTTTGGGTTTCCACAGAGACTGCTTAAATAAGGCCCCAGACATGGCAGTGTTTTCAGCTGTAACCTCCTCGTAGCCTGCCGGAGCCCCACGTATGTAGTAGTGGTAAGATGGCAGGGGAGGCAAAGCATTCAGTTGTCCTGTGATAGTCATGAGCCTGTACCTTGAGGCTGTCACCTTCAAAAACCCCAGCCTCTTTAGATAAATTGAGGAAGCCAAGATGAGGTGGTTGGGGCTGCGGGGGGTCTCTCCTCCCAGCTCTGGAGAAATAAGATTTTCCTGAGGGCAGGCCTTGTTTCTCTTTTGCTTGTTTGTTTGGGTTTTGTTGTTGCTGTTGTTTTGTTTTTTCGGTACTGGGGATCGAACTTAGGTCCTAGAGGTTGCGAAGTAGTCTGTTGTATATTTCAAAATGGCTGTTCTCCCCTACCCTGCCAGAAGTGCATGAAAGGGGCTCTTCTGCAGTCTTGAACGTGGGAGTTGGAAGGACCCCTAGAGGCAGGACTCACAGAAGTGTGGAACTCTCCCGAGGACCCCAGGGTTGGTAACTGTCAAGTGCGAACACGCTGAGCCCCAGCAGTTCCTCCTTACCATTTGAAGCTCCCTGCTGGCTCTGGGCTGCAGTGGCGGTCATTTGTTACAGTCCCAGCTCTGCGCAGTACACCTGTAAGGCTCCCTCCCCTAACTGCAGTTGTGTGCCCTTGGTCAGCGTCTCCCTTTTCCCCTCCCACTCCCCTGCCCATCTGCTGGGAACCACCATTCTGCCTTCAACGTCTGTGAGTTCAGCTGTTTGTTGATTTCACACATACATGAGGTCATGCACAGTACATGATTCTTTCTGCCTGGCTTGTTTCACTTTGGGCAGTGTCCTTCGGGTGCATCTATATTTTTGCAAGTGACAGAATTCTCTCTGCCTCTGTGTGTACATGTGTGTGTGTACGTGTGTGTGTGTGTGTGTGTGTGTGTGTGTGTGAACCCAAGACCTTCACAATGAGATGCATCCATATCCTTTTTTTATTTGTTATTTTGAGACAGAATCTCACTAAGTTGCTAAGTTGCTGGGGCTGGGCTTGAACTTGCAGTCCTGCCTCAGTCTGTGAAGTGCTAGGATCGCAGGCATGTGCCACCACACCCAGTGCCCCCTGCCTTTCCGAGGCTGAATAGTACAGTGGACCCTTGACTAACGAACTGACTAAGTCAATGTAGCTGAGATCTGGATGTTTACCTGATATACCCTATCCATAAACGAGGCAGATGACTGTTCCGTTAACCTAATTAACCCATTGTTCGTATGTCAGGCCAGGCGTAATTTGAAGGTCCACTGTTTTTCACTGCATATGTCCTCTGTTTATCCATTCATCAATCATGGTGCTCACCTGGGTTGTTCTGCATCTTAGCTACTGTGAATAATGCTGCAGTGAGCATGACATACAGATATCTCATCACTAACAATTTAAACCAACTGCACAGACTTGCTCTCATTTGCAGTCCTTCTAATTATCAAGCAAATGATCTGGCCACAGGCTTAACAAGCCTATTCTTGTTATTATTTCCAAATTCGGATCTGCTGGCTATTTTTACTTGAACAAAGTAGAAGGATACCTCAATAACTTAAATGTGATTCCATTTGGTTTGCTTCTCTGCTTAGGAGAATATACTATAGAAATCTATCACCTAAGATAAAATAGTAAAAAAAAAATATATTTACTAGAAACTACGAACAAGAAATGAAAAGAAACTAGGTGTGGTGGCATACACCTGTAATGCCAGCTACTCAGGAGGCTGAGGCAGGGGAATTGCAAATTTAAGGCCAGCCTGAATGATTTAGTGAGACCTTATCTCGAAAATTTTAAAAGTGCTGGGTATGTACCTCAGTGGTACATACTTAACCTAGCATGTGTAAGGCCCTAGGTTTAATCCCCAAAACCTAAACAAAAATTAAAAGAAAATTCTTGTTATTTTAGAAATTAACAAATGTTCTCCTTGGGGCATTTGGGGAAATAATTTATCTAACATGTATCTAAACTACTGTTGAAATTTGTACAGTGTATTCTCTTGGCATGAGGATAGCTATTCAAGCATGAAGATAACTAATCTGTACAGTACATTACTGGCATGAATTAACTATTTTGATTCCTATTTAAAGACACATGAATAATCAGCTTTGTCTAGGAGAGATCTGATGATAAATAGAAAGGAGATCTTTTAACTGTTTTAGAACTTGGATGCATAAAGATATTATTTACTTTTATGGCTCATCCAGTACTAGCTGGTCTTATAATCTGGCCCTGTTATGTGGGGGACTGCCCTATTAATCATGCCCAAAGCAGGCTGCAAGCAGTGCAGGCTATAAAGAGTTAACCCTGCAGTTGACTCATTTTAAGAAACAAGTATGGCTGAAACTTATATGACTCACAGACGCACCTCATAAGCACAGCAATAGCGCACAGGTTAGCATGACCTTCCTGCTAATGGCCACAGCAGAGACAAGAGAAATGGCCCGTGAAGCTGTGGGGCTCAATATGAGGCAACAGAGTAGCTGAGGTTGGAGTAACTCACACTCAAATTCCATTCCCACGACTAAAACCTTAACTAGAAGCACAAGGTTCATCAGAGCCCTATGTTTTGTCTGTTCTGTTCCTAATTTGAGAATGCTTTGCCTTTTCCTTTATAAGCCTTGTCTGCATTAGTATCCATAGCAACTGCACAACTGCACGTTCTCACATGTAGTTCCCCTTTTACTCCAGCCTGATTACCAATAAAAATCAATGGCTTGGACTGACCAGGGCCTTTGCTGTTTGCTTAGCACTGGCTGTCCTGGATCCCCACTGTTTTCTTTAATTCTGTCTGACTGAGTCTTTCTTCAGCCCTGTGTCATACACTGGGCAGGAGACTGGAACCTGTTGCAGAGGTCTCTGGTACTACTAAATATGGTGTCCCTTTCTGTCCACCATCTTGGCAAGAACAGCCTCTCATACCAACATGTATTGGTCCCTGTTAGAGATTTGCTCATATTTATTAATCTAATAAAATGTATCTTACTAGCATGCTTATATTAAGGTAAATGAGTTTAATACAAAAGATACTTATTATGAAATTAGTTGCTCATATATGAACAATGTATAAGATTGATAGGCAAAATTTTATTTTGTGATAACTACTTTTTTGTCATTGTTAAGATACAACCGGAGCTAAGAAGAAAACAGCTGTTTTTTATAGAAATTAATGAACTATTTACTGTATAAGCCCACATACCTGCAGTAAGTAACATGAAAAAATTGAAGATAACACTGAATGGTTATAAGAAATTTAGTGAGCTTAGTGTCACGTGTGCCAGTAATGTTTTTCACATGTCCAGATATTAACAGAAAGCTCACAGTGCTCAGATGTAAAGAGCCATATAACTTTGGCCTAATTACTGTGGCTGCAATAAACCTACAACATACACATAACCCCCCAAAATCCATTTGAAATCGATGAAGAAAAGAAATAAAATAATTTACTTAGAAATGCTTCAAAGATGATTTTTCCTGATTAAATCTGTGACCACTTTATTTTCCTCCTTCACAAAAGTTCCTTAAAATCAATCAGTAGAGCTGGATGTAGAGGTGCATGCCTGTAATACCAGCACTTTGGAGGCTGAGGCAGGAGGATTGCCACAAGTTCAAGGCAGGCCCAGGGTACACAGTGAGTTCAATGCCAGCCTGAGCTACATAGTGAGGCCTTGTCTCAAAACACAAAAGAAAACAAAAACAAAAACTGACCAGTGAAGCTTCTGGCATCTTGTTCTATAGCTCTGTCGTGACGCCCCATGCCGATGAACCGCGTGTACAATGCAGCTGCTGGCACAAACAACACAGAAACCAGGGAATTCAGATTCTGAAGGGTGGTGATTAAGTATTCTATTTTGTGATTTTATGAGGAATCCACGAAGTTTTTCTTTTTTAGATTAGATGCATAATGAGGCAAAATATTTGAGGGAAAACAAGTGAGACAAAAGTACAGGTCTCGGAGGAAAAAAGCCGACATCTGCTGACACTTAAATGATGCAGTCCATGACGTGGATCTGCAGGGTGTCTATGTCGGGCAGGACCTCCCCGCACTTGGGGCAAGAGTGGATCGGGATGCTCTGGGGTTGCTGTTCCTGCCAGTTCCTATTGTCGGCTCCTGCGAATGAGCAGAAAAGCAATCGTCATTGGCTCCGTCTTGCCAGCACTCTTGCTTGATTTTAAAAACAGCCGGTTAATTTGAACATCGGTTAAACTCTGCAGTGGTACCTGGGAGGATATGAATGCGAGCTTTCGTCTTCAGTGTATGGGCTCACAGAACACAGCACCGGTTTTCCAAACCAGGGTACCTCAGCGCTGCCCCTGCCTCTTCGCTGGAAAGGCTGGTGCCTCCACCTGTGCTTTTCTTTCTGTTGTGCACCAGGCTTCGAGACCTGCGCTGGCGCTGCTGCTCCAGCCTGCTTGTGGTTCCCTCTGCCTGCTGCCTCTTCACCCACAGTGTGCTTAGTCATTTCCTTAACCCATCAGGTGCATTTCTCCCTTTGCTCTTCTACTCTCGCTCATCTAAATCCTCTTTTCGAGGTCAAGCACAGAGTCCCATCTTCTCCAGGCCTCTCTCAACCCCCGTCCGTGTCTAAAATAATCAACTTATCCTCCTCTTGTCTTCACCACTGTCCTTTTTATTACCCTGCATGTGTTCATCTTTTTACACAAGCACCCTGTCCCAGCTACACCACATCCTTAGTGTGCTTGAACTCACCCTGTAGATCAGGCTGGCCTCGAACTTAGAGCGATTCTCCTGCCTCTGCCTCCCAAGTGCTGGGATTACAGGCATCTGTCACTATGGCTGGCTTCATACTCCACTTTTAGAACCCATTTCAGCCAGGCATAGTGGCACACATCTGTGATTCCAGCACTTGGAAGGCTGAGGCAGGAGGCCTTCCTGGACCACATAGCTGGCCTGAACTAATACTGAGATCCTGTCCCAAAACAAAATAAAATAAAATCTCTTTCCATTTCTGGTCACTGGCTGAGTGACGTATATGGAGTTGACACTTCCATAACTGCTGACAACAACAGACAAGAGATGTATCAAGAGAAAAGCAGTTTTGTTAAGAAACTAAAAAAAAAAAAGAAACTAAAAAAAATCTTAAGATAGCGCTGTTTGAAATTTTATGACCAAAAAACACTTACTAGAATAATCAAGGATAATTTTATACTTGTACAGACTTTCTAGATTATAAGGATATATCCAAACGGATAAGTTTTTAAAAATGTAAATAAGTGTTTGCCTTACAGAGTTATAAAGAACAATCTTTCCTTAAGAAATCCAGGTAGGGCAGGGGATGTAGCTCAGTAGTGCTGCTGCCTGCTTACAAGTGCAAGGTCCTGAGTTCGATCCCCGGTACCCCCCCCAAAAAAAGGAAAGAAATACAGGTATAAGAAATTAAGAAATTGACCTTTTAGGGCCAGGGATGTAGCTTAGTGGTACAGTGCCTGCCTGGCAAGTGAAAGGCCCTGAATTTGATTCTCAGTACCAAAAAACAAAAACAAAACAAAACAACAACAAAAACCCCAGAAACTAACCTTTTAGACCTGACCCAGACAACCTGTGGGGCACTTCCAGAAATCAGGTCTACAGCTGATCCTAGGGTGTTTACAACTGGGTTAGAGAAAATGCCTGGCAGCGCTCACCTGGGCGGGTGCAGCTTCCAGAGAACACAGTTTACCCATTGGTGCCAAGGGCCCAAGGCGAGTATTTATGTCCTGCTGCTGTGTGGCCTCTTTTGTAAATGTACCAGGAATAATACTATGCTTAAAAGCAATACTTTTTATTTGACTTCATTTTCCAGTATAGGGTGAACCACTGTTTTTATTTTTAACCTGCACTACTGCCTTTAATGTTTACCGTAACCTTTTCTTCCTGTAGGAGAACTTTGGTAGGTGAATGGAAGGGGAGAAAGGGCAGCAGAAAAGACACCCAGAGACCCTTCCTCAAGACTTGACAGTTTGCTTGTGCTAACACAGCTTCCCTGCTTCCATTTCAACAGCAAGGCGGTGTGTAAAAGGGACTTGGATAGGTCCAACATGTAAAAGCAAATTTCAGGGCCCAGGGTTTAGCTCAGTCACACCGCCTGCCTCACAAGCACAAGGACCTGAATTTGCTCCCCGGTACCAAAATAAATAAATAAATAAAAGCAAATGTCATTAAGTTTGTGAAAATTTCCAATTTTGTGAAAGTGAGGATGGTACCCTAAACCTAGACTTAGTGGCACTGCCATTAACTTTTTTTCTATCTATGTTAGCCTTTGATCTTTTCATTTTTTCATGTCTAGAATTAAGGATAATACTTCCCTTTTAGTGACTTATACATTACAGAACATTATTAGTAGTATTAAAACCAGGTACTACTAAATACAGCACCACACTTTTAAGAAGGGTCATGATCAGTTTCACTTGGGAAACAGAAATCTGGATTTATTACAAATTAAGTGACTGTATAGGTAGTTCTGTGTAGCAGTCAGAGTCAAAATAACTTCGGATTCCACTTCTAATTTTTTCTCTAACTAGCCTTGTGATTCTGGGATATTTAACCTAGTAAAATTGCAGTTTTGTCTTATAAGAATGTGATAATATATACCTCAGAATTTTTTTGAGAATAAAATTAAATAATACAAATAAAGTGATATCAGCACAGTGCCACATGTTAACATCATGTGTGAAACTCCAGTAGTGGGTTAGAAGAGAGTTACTTAAAGAGTACCTAAATGCATATTCAAACACATAAACTCATAAAATAGAGTAATAAAGTACTTTGGAAGTTGGGGAGGGAGACAAAGCATGAAGATGAAGATTGAAAGGGATTTTATTGTATTATTTTGGACACAGTTTCACTACTTTTAGTTCAGGCCAGCCTTGAACTCACCGTGTGGCCCAGGCAGGCCTCCTACCTCAGCCTCCTGAGTGCTGGGATGACAGATATGTGCCACCATGCCTGGCTGAAATGGTTTTTTTAAAAAGTGGAGCATGAAGCTAGGTATGGTGATGTATGCCTCTAATCCCAGCATTTGGGAGGCAAAGGCAGGAGGATCTCTGTAAGTTCAAGGCCATCCTGGGCTACATGGTGAGTTCAAGACCAGCCTGAACTACAAAATGGAAAAAAAAAAAAAAAAGGTGGAATATGAGTTCACTGGAAAGAGACTTCAAGACAGGAATGTAGGTCCAGGAGGGCATCCATGTGAAGGGCACAGCCTGACAGACATTTGCAAATGGGGCTTAGGTTGAGTCAAAGGGGACGATTTAGTTGGCTGGTACTGTAGACTAGAGTGAGATCCGGCAGTGCCGTCTGGTCTGAACTTAGGGGGTGAGGGACAGACTGGGGTACTTGGGAAAGACATGAGGGGCACTAGATTCTAGGTAGCTTGGGATGGAATTATAAAAGGTTGTGGAATATTCTTTGAGTGCCCTTTTGGTGGGACTGTGACTCACCTCTCTGAACGAGGTAGTCCTGCTGCTCAGGATCACCGGTTCTCGCCCCATGCCGGCTCTGCATTTCCATCAGTGACTGCCTGCTGGGATCAAAGCCACACTGCAGCTGATGTTCTGCAGCGACACTGAAACTTGACAGTGTTAAGCAGACAGTCAACAGAAGTACAGAAAAAAGAGCTGCACTACAGCGCTAAGGTCCAAAAATCCATAACTGGAGACTAATCTGATTTTAAATACTGTTGACACTAGCACGCCATGTAGTAAAGGTAAGAATTTTTAAAATCTGCTAGGAATCACCAATCTGTTAATTGATAGAATGGATCAGAAAAAAAGTGGCATATTTCTACACTGAGACTCTACAGAGCAATTAAATAAAAATTAAATCTGCATGTATGAAAATTGAGTACAAAATCACAAGGATATATAAATCAAATTGTAGAACAGCACCTACAGTTTGGAACAAATCAGTGTTTTCTTGTTTTAAGATACTATATAGTGACACACATTGTAGAAGGCTGGCCACCCACCACCTTTCTGGATATACAAGCTAAGGGGCAACTGTCATTTCAGAATTGTCAAAGGTCAGAAGGAATTTTAGAAGTTTTTCTTTTGAGACATATCAGAGAATTTAAGGTGCTGAGGAACATTTCACTGATGACAGTGGCAAGGCAGGGCACTGACCCACGATGAATGTTGACAGCTTATCTCAGAGTCAGGAACACATCTGTCCAGCTTTGTAGTAAGCCAGACTGCAGGAACAGGACCAAGTGACAGGAAGACACAGGGCTCTCACAGCTCCGTCAGGAGACCTGTTTGGCAGGTCACCTCTTCCACAACCCCTGCTGTCACACACGCCAGTCTCCCTCATGTGTTGTAATCTTACCTGCCATCATCTTCAAAAGCGTTGTTCTCTTTCAGCAAAATTGCGAGCTGCAATGCCAGCTGCTCCTTTTCTTCATGAATCTTCTCTCTTGCTGCTCTTTCAGCATGAAAATCAGAACAGTAAACCTCCATCTGTTAGAGGAAAAAAGTACAGCATTTACTACTGAGATGAATGTGGATTCTATACAGCTCACCTGTTTATGAAGTCAGTAGACTGTGCTGCTTCTTAAACAGGCCTCATGGATCTCACACACACACACACACACACACACACACACACACACACTCCTGCTAGAGCCATATGTAATGTAAAAGGTGTGATCCCATTTTGAATAAAGCACAGAACAGAAAAAAAAAAAAATACATGCACCAAAATGGAATTTGAAAGAGTTTGATTTTTTACTTTCTATTTTATCTACTTTACAATGTCTAAAATTTTTGTTTCATACTGGATGGCATTATTTATATAATTTAAAGAAAATTGAAAGGTTGTGAATATAGCTCAGTGGTAAAGCACCGTCCTACCATGGAACAGGCATGGCTGAATCTTACCTGAGCCCTGAGCACTGCCATGGTGTCCAGGTCCTCCTCCTGCTTGGCAATGGTCTGCTTCATCTCATCCATCTGAAGCTGCTTGGAGGCCAGGGCCCTCTCTGCCAGCTCCAGTTTTTCATTTAGTTCCCTCAGCACCGCCTTATCCACCTTTTCTGACTGAAAGACAGTTTTATTCAGGCATATTGACCGGTCCAGAGGCCCAGGTTCACTGCACAGTTCCTCGCAGTAGACAGCCCATCCAGCCCTAGCAGCTGTCTCACTGTGTCCTGTTCACACAGGAACCCAGACCCTCAGCTTCTCTGTGAAGCTTCTCTGAGAAATACTAAAGCTCACTCCCTGGGTCTGTGGACGTTCACACCATCTGTGTACTCAAAGCACATAAGTAGGTGGAACATGAGAAGTTACAAATGTTTCAGCACAAGAAATAATTATAAACTGAAAAGCAGTTTTGAAAACCAGATTTAGTGATAGAAAATGTTCACTGGTTTCTGTTCACCATTAGGCTGTGGAAGGAGTTGTGTTTTTTTTGTTTTTTGTGTTTTTCCCGTGAATACCTCTTTCCTTGTTAGTTCCTCAGTTGTCTTCAGTGCATTATTATGTTCTTGAAGAAGCTTGTTGTGTGTTAACTGCAGAATGGCTAACTTGGACCTATTAAAAAAGATATTAAAAAATGGAATCTTTACCGAAAGTTTGAATATAACTTCCTTATCATCTAAATAATTTAGTAGCAAAATCTTCTTTCGTTTTATTAACCCACTGTTATGGCTTGTGTCTAGATGTCTCCTCAAAGCCTTCTTCGGTCATAGGTGAAGCATTTTTGGAGCGTGTGATGTTGGGATTAAGGGCGTGTGATTACTGAGTCAGTCTACTGATTGGTTTGGCAATGCCCTAATCCTGGAGTCTAGATACAGTATAATAAAGGGCAGAAAGAAGCTGCAAAGGTCACTTGTTTGTTTCCTCTTTATACTTCCTTTGCTACCTTCTGCCCACCATGAACCATTTCTCCTCTGTGATGTCTGTCTGCCATCCCCCGTATCCTGGAGCCGTCCAACTATGGACTGCAACCCCTATAGACTGTGAGCCAAATAAACCTTTCCTCCTTAACTTTGGGTTTCAGGTATTTTGTTTTAGCAAGGAGAAAAGTAACTTAAGTCACTCACCAACTACTAGTATTTTAGAAAGTATTTTCTGAAAAACAAGTTAGAATGCAAGCCATTTTCATAATTTTATTATGATTAAATATTAACTTATCTCTTCAAAGAGTCTCCTAGGACTCTTTCAAATAAATAAAAACATTTTATGAATTCCCAAATCCTAATCCACTATGCATGAAGAAAGCAATCAGCATACTCACTTTTCTTCTTCTGTTTTTGCTTGCTCCATTTTGATTTCTGATCGCATGCTCTCTACTTGGAGTTCTAACTTCTTATTATTATAAACCAGCTCTTGCTTTTCACTCAGCTCTGATGGAGTTGCAAAATTTTTCCTTTCAAGGGCTTGGCATCTAAGAAAGTTAAAGATTTTATGAGGAGAAACAATATTCTACTTCTCAGTGGCTTTTTAACAAATCCCAAGATTATGTAAAATACTAGTAAGCAGGGCTGTAGGATTTATGAATGCCAAAAAAAAAAATTTATTCTTTTTGCTTCTCTGCTGGACATAGGCATATTTCTGAACCCCTATGCCTAAATGTAAAAAGCACATCTAAGTATGACATGAGGTAGTTTTATCATTGAATAATTGTCTTAAATAGTCATACACCTATAGCTTTTGTTATTTAAACCCAGACCAAGGTAGTAATTGGCTAAAAGTGATTCTCATATATTGATCCATGGTTACCTTTTATATTTTTGAAAGTTCGACCTATCAATCACAAAGACTTGGCTTTCTGACAAGGATTCAATAGGGAAAAAAAGGACCTCCCCTTACAGATCAGGAAGAGAGGGTTGGGGATTTAGCTCAGTGGTTCCGCCACCTGCCTCGCAAGTGTAAATACCCAAGTTCGATCCCTGGTTCCAAAAAACAAAACAAAACAGATCAGGAAGAGAATTTCTATATAATAACAGCAAAAACAAATAGCTATGCTAGCTAGCTGTGTACAAGGCATTAATGCCAAGCACACCAAATATTTTATTTAATATAATGATATTGTACCAGGTTATCATAATACTGCAGAGTGTTGGTAAGCGTAACCCTCATAGAAAACACCTATACATGGCACTGGACATGTGTTTGCCAACTAATCCTATAGAATGACATTAATTTAGCTTTGCAAAGATTCAGGTAATTTCTTACATCAAAAGAAACAAGCAAATGCAAAATTCTCAATTTATATATTAGCTTTAATAACTGATTAAAATTCTTGATTCCAATCAATTTTTTTCCTAAAACTTGACTCAACTTTCTTTATGCTCTGTTCCTTTTCTTGTTCATATGTATGTGTCAGCTTATGTCAGACAGGAAGTCTGGCGGCACTGTGGCCAGGAGTCACGTAGGCTAGTACACTAACCGCAGAGTCAAAGTCCTCTGGTCCCCACTCCCAAACATTTTAACATGTACTTCATTCTTTATGTTGTTTCCTTTTCAGTACTAGGGAGTGAACGCAGGGCCTTCATACTGATCTATATCCTCAGCCGTTTAAATTTTTTATTTTGAGACAAGATCTCACTAAATTCCCCAGGTAGGATTTGAACTTACAATCTTCTTGCCTCAGCCTCTCCAGTGTGTTGGGATTATAGGTGTGCTACAACACATCAGGCTAAGAATTTTATTCTTAGACATTCACATGTACATTACTGTTTTTTGTTCATATCTCAGGTCTCTATTTTTCTTTTAGTCAGTAAAAAAACGACATACTTTGTAAAAATGTGTGTTTTTCAAAGTAGGATAAAACTGATTTCTCTTACTTTTCTTGAAGTCTCTTCTTCATTAGCTCAGCTTCACTGAGTTTTGTATGAGCCTCCTGAAGCTCCTTAAATAGGGACGTCACCTGAAGGTTCAATGTTTCCACTTCACTTCCAATCTGTGGTACAGGAAATGCCAAACATTCCCATGTGATTGCCATCAGAGATTAAATGAACCTCTGTAACAGAAGTCCGAATCACTCCTACCCAAGGCTGACCAGATTCACTTTGGATAATTACTACTCCAGATGTTCTTTGGATGCAACTCTGTTTCCTAATAGAGCACTAACTAATCAGTCTGGATGCTCTTGTAGTAATGATTTTGTCACTACTAAAAGTAGCCCTACTTGTGGCTAAGTGATTACAGATCACAGAGGTGCCAACTTCGCTCATTTAGGTTTCCAGTTTACATAGTTTCTGTTAGACAGCCTTTCTCCTGGCAGCTGTGTATTTCCTGTAAATGAGTTTTACATCTCATAAATCTCAATGCTTTTCTCTTAGTGGCTGAATAAATTTTAGTGAGCAAGGTACTACTATGTGCTGGGGATCTTTTCATCTCAGTTTTCTAAATGTTCTGCATTCTCATGCAGTTCCCTACTCGAAAGAGTAGGCATTTGATATGCATAGTTGGCATGCAATATATATGATTGAATAAATGAATTAATGAATGTAGTTTTTTATATAAATGCCTTTCACTTGAGCTACAATGGCTTTTTTAACTTCATATTTTCATTAACTTTCCCTAAGCTCAAGACTCTGCAGGCCCAAAGGCACAGCTCCAAGTTACCATGCAACACTGAATATATACATGAACCACTGTGATTGAAATGACTGTCCCTAACCATAACAGCACAGAAACAAGATCCTTCCATTCTATTAGCTTCTGAGTCATTCAACAAATGACCTCATTATAAAGTAGATGAAGGTCCTTTTTCATTTAGTGGGCTTGTTCACTTAAGGATTTAGGAAATGAAATACAGGACTCGTTTCATAGAGTATCATACACATATGTGTCCCCCCAGTTGACACTGAATAAAACTCAGCACAGGACAAAGAATACAAGGTGATTCTTATGTGCCTGGGCCTGTCCAGCAGTCTTGGAATTTTGGTACCCACGGCCTCTGCGTCTTTGTCCTCCTTCTCTTCTGTGTTCCCCTCTGTCTGGGTCTCTATCTCAGAGCGATCATTTGCTTTCTTTTCAAACTCTGAAATTCTGAAAAAAAATACAGATGTGTAGAAAAGTTACTTTCTCTTTGGCATTAAGACACACTCAATTGCAGACACACTCAAAAGAACACTATCGGGCCAGGGATTTGGCTTAATAGTTCACTGCCTGACTCGCAGACACAAGGGCCTAAGTTCAATACCCAGTAGAAAAAAAAAAAAAGTTAACGCTTTCAAAATCTGGATAAAATATTGGGTTTTCAGATCCTCTTTACATTCCTTATATTAGCGCTGATTTTGTTTTTCATTCTAAGACTGGCTAGAACTGGTGTGATTTAACACACAAAGGTGAAAGACAGGAATAACATGTCTTCACCATGACCTGTTTCCTGCGAATGTACTATCAAGAAGTATTTTTAAAAATTTGTGTGTACATATGTAGATGTAGATATATTTGTTCCACAAGTACCTATGTGTCCTATTTATAAGAATTTAATCCAGGCATGGTGGCACATGCCTGTATTCCTAGCTACTTGAGAGGCTGAGGCAGGAAGGATCACAAGTTCAAGGCCAGCCTGGACAACTAAGATCCTGTCCAAAAACAGTAAAAGAATATAAAATAAAATAAAGGGCTAGAGATGTAGCTCAGTGGAAGAAAGCTTGCCTAATATGTATCAAACCTTGCGTTCAATCCTCATTACTGGGAAGAAGAAAGGAGGAAGAAGAAAGAAGGGGGAGGGGGGAGGAGGAGGCGGAGGGGACGGAAAGAGGAAGTGGGGAGGACGAGGAGCACGAGGACGAAGAGGAAGAGGACGAAGATAATTCAGCAGGAAAGGAAAGACTTTTCCTTTTAGCACCCCTTTAAATTTAGAAGTCCCAAACAATCAAATGTAGCACCATTCTTACACTGACTCAGGACAAATGAAACAAATAAGATTATTGTTGAAGATGGTGGGGTTGAGTATATGCCATTAGTTTTTCCCCCACTCCAAACCTCATGAAATAATTTAAAAAGGCCTGGGCCAATGGAACAAATAGAAAAGGTGAGGAAAGAACAATAAGAAAACGTGGAAAGCCCAAGAGTGAGTGGGAGCAGGGTTAGCATTCAAAAATGTCTGGACACCAAGCCAACATGAGGCAACTCCAACTGGGGACACTGGAAGCGGTGATAAGGACAGGGCCTGTTGGAGGAGGGGCTGGAATACGGTGAGACAGGAGTTTCAGGCTCAGGCGTGTTAAGCAGAGTGGAGAGACTGGGTTTCCCACATACACAGAGCAGTTCACAGGGAGGAACTCCACCTCTTTCTGCTCATCTCAGGAACCCTAACATCAAGAAAACTGTCCTGCAGGCAGGAGGCTGAAAGTCTTCTCTGGAGAATTCAACCAGGAGGGAAAACATTGCAAGTTTCAGGCATAGGCTTCCCCAAGGACACCTCCCAGCTGGATGTCCCTACAGACACAAAGCTCGGAGTAGCTTCTAACTCTCTCCTCCCTCTTATATCAGCCTTACATCTGATCAAACAGCCAAGATCGCACATATCTGAGGAAAACCTTAAAATAAATGATACTTTTCTACAGAAAATAGAGTATGATGCTATGAGGGGTTAACACGAATATCCCTAGAGACATAAGAAAACATATTGCTACCACTTAAAAAGAAACATTAAAAACACCAAGAATAAGAAAAGGAAGATAGCTGATATGATCTAGTAGAACGGAGATAAAGAAGGGTTGAAGGTATAGCTCAGTGGTAGAGCACTTGCCTAGCAATGAGGCCCTGGGTTTGATCCCCAGGTGCAAAAAGAAACAACAAAAAAAATTTAAAAAGCAAAGAACAAGTCTGGTGATTTAGCTCAGTGGTTCCACTGCCTGCCTTGCAAGTGCAAGGACCCAAGTTTGATCCCCAATACCAAAAAGAAAAAAGAAAATAAATAAAAAATAAAAAACAAAGAACAACAAAATTTATGAAAATTAGATGGCTAGCCCTGGGGATCCAACTTAAAATAATGAAATGATAGTAGGTTCTAGAAAGATAATTAAAGGTAAAAAAAAAGTCAGTACAGGAAGTAATCCCTACATTAATTTAGGAGTTTTCAAGAAGGGAAGGTTCAAGTGAGGCTAGAACAAATGGATGAAAGACAGGCTCACAGGAAAGCACAATGTGAAATATCACAATGGAAACAACCAAAGAAGCTTCAGAGAGGAGAAAAACAAAAGGTGTTTCATATCAAGACACAATCAGAAAGGCAAGGATTTCTCAACAGTAAAATCAGAAGCTAAAATACAATGAAGCAATGCTTTCAAAATTTGAAGGGAAGATAATATCTACTCTAGAATTTATATAACCAAAACTATCCAGTAAGTATAAAAGTAGAGAGATTTTCAGAGTCAGAACTCAGAAAACATATTCCTCACATATCCTTTTCAGTTAGTAGAGATATAATATACACTATTGAAAAAGAAAAAAAGAAAAAGCAAGAAAGGCATTGGATTAGGAAAACTGGTGATCCAACACCAGAGAACTAAAGGAATTCAACAGTATGATAACAGAGATCCCAAGATGACTGCTATACAGCAGGGCCCAGAAAGCAACCAGGCAAGTAGTACTGCACTCCTAATGTGTTTGAATGGAACTGATTTCCTCACCGGAAGGAAGTGTAGGAGGAATCCGGAAGTGTAGGAGGAAGCTGAGTTCTGTGATTTGAACACCCCCTCTGCAATACATGTTGAAATTTAAACTGCCATTGGCATTATATCAGCACTGCCTTCCTGAATGGATTAAAGCTGTTATCTTGGGGGTGGGTTCTTAAGAAAGGGATGAGTTCAGTTCTGTTTCTCTCTGGCACATTCTTGACTGCTCTTCTCCTGTGTTATAATGCAACAAGAAGACCTGGACCGGAAGCAGCCCCTTGATCTTGAACGACCCAGCATTTATAACTGTGAGCCAAATAAACTAAAGTTGTTTAGAATTTATCCATCTGTAGGATTCTGTTACAGTAGCAGAAAACTGACTAAATAGGTAAAATTTTAAAGAAGTAATTCTGCACAGAGATTTTAAAAATGTGTAAAACAGGGAGAACAGTCATGATACGTAGATTGACTACAGACTCTGTGTGTGTGCACAGTAATGTAAACACTGAGGTAATCCTCAACTAAATATCAATATAATCAAGCTCAGAAGAAGACGGGGAAGAAAAGAGGGGTCTAGAACATATGTATGTTGTGTTAATGACAGTAGAAGTCAGTTAAATCATCTTTCATAGTGGGAGGCCAACAGATAGTATTTAAAATCTTTCTAAAAAATGTATGTAACAATTTAAAAGCTTGATATGTAGAGGTAAATATAAAAAAAACCAACTAAATATGTTGAAAATGCTTGTATCAGAAGCAGGAAAAAGCGGGAGGGTTGTTGGATCAGAACTGTTGTTTCTCCATGAGACGTTTGTAGAATAAACAATTTTTTTTGGGGGGGTGGATGAGTACTTGGAACTTAACACAAGGCCTTCACACTAACATGCATCTATAGCCCATTGTTACTTTTATTGTATCTTATTTAGTTTTTGAGACAGAGTCTCACTAAGTCACCCAGGCTGGACTCAAACTTGAGATCTTCCTACCTCAGTTTCCCAGAGTGCTGGGAATTACAGGCATGTAATTTATATGAATGCAAAGTTATTTTTAAATAAAAACCTAGTGGTGATAAAAACAACAACAAATTTATATGAATGCAAACTTATTTTTAAATAAAAACCTAGTGGTGATAAAAACATATAATAAGCAACACTGTTTTCTGTTACAAACTGTCAAACCTAATTAGCACTCAGCACAGACTGTCAAATCTGAATAAATGGGTTAAACACCAGCCGGAGGAGCAGGAAGGTGGGCCTTTGTAATTCCATTCACATTAGACACAAGGTTTTGATCTATATTTGAACCACAGCTTAATTTTCTAGGGCAAATTCTCACCGTGAGCTTTTTCCTTCTCTTTCCTTATTTTTCCAGGCTACATTTCCTATACAGTTTTCTCTCCTTACCAGCTTTTAGTGTACATTTAGAAAACACAAATTACATGAAATATCAGTCCTGGCAAAACAGGGACAGAAAGACAGATCTACTGTTCCCTATCCCCATACATGACCTAGAAGTTTTTCAGAATAAATTTTACAACATTTATACAAGTATTTCCCCGATTAATGAAAATGGCTGAAGATTGACTTACTTATTTCAGAAAAAGACATGTTAGGTCTTGCCATGTGTTTTATTATATCTGATTATAATTATTTTTCCTCATTGAGTTTACTGGTACACTCTAGGCACACAGTAAGTCACATTCATCACTGGGACCTTGCACCTTTACATGACAGGCCTCGGTTATACAGTGTGCAAACCAAGGGAGGTTGTTTGCTTATTGGTGATTTTGTTTCTTAGTTTTAGTGCTACTCTTTCTAATCATTGTGATACTCACCTAGAGAACATTAGTCCAAGCAACCAATTACCAACTTGTCGTGGTTAAATATTCAAAGACAATAAAGAAAGTAGAAGTTTAATACTATTGACAAAAGACACTTCCAAAATGCTCACGTCTGGGACATCAGACCTACATCTCAAAGACAGGCCAGATACGTTAGCTACGGTCTGGAGAGCTGCATACCCTTTAGCCTGAGTAGAAAGCTATGATTTTTTTAAAAAAGCAGGAATTATATATTTTGGGTGAAAGATCAAGATATGTAATGGGCAAACTCCTAAGTCTGCACTTCTTTTCATAAAGCCAGTCGTAGTAAAGTAAGGAATTACTGGCTAAGCCTAAAATGATATACAAAACTTGAGAGATACAAAATAAAAACACACTGATTACTCAGCTATTAAAGGTCTTGTTCATAGCATAACATCTTCCTTTAAAATCAGCTATAATAGTCACAGTGTAGAGAGAATGCATTTATTTATTTATGCCTTTACCAAAAAGATAGGGTGAATATGTTGCCCCCTTAGAACACACGGTGGCAGGCAGTCTCCTAAAAGTCACCTCTAACTTTTCTAAGACGGGGCTGAAAACCTAGGATTTATAGCCACTGTGCCTTTTTCACCTTTGAAAAAGAGTTGACTGATCAGCAAGGAAGCTATGGGGCAAATGCTGACATGCTTTCCATATTGTTCTCAGTCCAGAGAATGCCTCATGTTCAAAATTTTACAAATAGATCCTCCAATAGTTAAGTTTTAAACTGTTTCAACAGCAGAAAAACATTCTTTTTTTTTTTTTGAGACGGGGTTTCCCTATGTAGTTCAGGCTGGCCTCGAACTCACTGTGTAGCCCAGGTTGTTCTTGAACTCACAGCGATCCTCCTGCTGCAGCCTCCTGAGTGCTGAGAGCACAGGCGTGCGCCACCAAGCCCAGCAAAATACTTCTTAAAAGTGCTATAGTTTAAAATGAATAAGCCATTTATAATATCTGAGAGAATTAATTATACCATGATATATTTATGATTAAATGTTCTAATCACTACAGCCCTAAACTCTTGCATAACTTTCCCTATGTCTTACACTGTATTTGGGGTATCTGAGCAATTTGTATTTCTAAAATATACATTCATAAACCAATCTTCACTGACTCCACAACTCATAAGGTAAATAAATCTTACCCCAAACCCAAGTCTAAATGATTTTGTTTCCAATAGCATTATATTGCAGCTATTCCAATATTTTCTAAAAGCCTGTCTGATATTTTTAAAGTTATGTATACACAGAAGAGGAAGCACTATTTCCCAACTTGTTCTATGAGGTCAGTACTACCCAGAGACCAAAACTAGGCAAAGATATCACAAGCAAGCTACAAACTAATATCCTTTATATATACAGACACAAATGTCTTTCATAAAACAATAGCAAACTGAACCTAGCAACGTATACAAAGAATTATCTACCATGACCAAGTAAGATTTAGCCCAGGAATGCAAGGCTGATTTAACATTTGAAAATCAATGATATATCAATATTAATAAGGTTAAAAAAACCCATAAATCATCTCCATACATATATAAAAAGCATCTGAAAAAATGTAAACACTCTGTGATAAAACTGTAACTAACTAGACACAGGAGGAAGTTGCTCAACCGGACAAAGGCATCCACAAACAACTCTCAATTAATGTTATATTTAATGGACTGAAAGAAAGGTTTTGCTCTAAAGAAAAGAACAAGACAAGGATGCCCTATTCTCCACTCCTATTTCACACTGTACTGGAGGTTCTAAAAAAACAAAAAGCAAGGGCCAGAGATTTAGCTCAGTGGTGCCACCACCTGCCTCACAAGTGTAAGGTGCTGAGTTCGATCCCTGGTACCAAAAAAGAAAGAAACAAAAGATACTCATATTGGAAAGGAAGAAGCAGAACTATCTCTGTTTGCAGATGACACAGTCTAATTCTATAAATGGAATAATCTAAGGATTTTGTTAAAAAATTATTAGTACTAACAAATAATTTCAGCAGGGTTCTAAAATACATGAATATACAAATTTGGTGGTGGGGTGGGTACCGAGCAGGCAGGTGCTGTGCCACTGAGCTATATCCCTGGGCCTCAAAATTATTTTTTATATATTATGAATGAATACGCCAAAAATTAACAAATTTTCCTTTACAACAGCTTCAAAAACACAAAAGTGCTTAAATTTAACAAAAACATATAAGACCTGTATAGTAAAAGTACTAAACACTGAAGGAAATTACAGAAGACACAAAGAAATGCAAAGATATCTCTTGTTCATCATGGGTCAAGATACTAAGATGGCAATACTCACCAAACTGATCTACAGATTCAGTGCAAGCTCTAGTAAAATCTTAGCTTCCCCTACCCTGAAATTATCAGGGTGATCTTAAAATTCAAATGGAACAGCAAGGAGCCCAGGACAGCCAAAAGTTTTGAAAAAGAACCAAGTTGAAGGATCCAATTTCCTGATTCCAAAATGTACTGCAAAGCTATAGCAATGAAGACAGGGTGGTACTGGCATAAGGACATACATTACATTAGATCAGTAGAACACAATCAGGACTCTAATATTAAAGTTGATCATTGTCACCCTGTACACACACACACACACACACACACACACATACACACTGAAGTCCAAAGGGATCATAGGCTGAAATGTAAGAACTAAAAGTGTAAGAAAATGTAAAGTGAATTGTTTTGACACAGGGACAATGGTTTCTAAGACACCACAAACCCAGATGACAAAGGGATAGAATGTATTACATCAATACAAAAAAATTTTGTGTTGCAAATACCATTAAGAAAGTGAAAAGAGGGCCAGGGATTTAGCTCAGTGGTTCCACTGCCTGCCTCGCAAGCACAAGGTCCTGAGTTCAATCCCTAGTACCTTCCCCACCATTAAAAAAAAAAAAAAAAAAAAGTGAAAAGAGAGGGATGGAGCTTAATGGTAGAGCACTTGCCTAGCATGTATGAGGCCCTAGGTTCCATCCCAAGTACCACACACACACACACACACACACACAAAAGCAAAGAAAATCCATAGAACTGAAGAAAATAGTCACAAATCATATAGTCAACAAATATATACTATATTATAATACATATTATGTAATATATATAATAATAGATAAGTCAGTGCTTAAAACTGAACAGAGAATTTGGATATTTCTCCAAAGAAGACTCAACATGAAAAGGTAGTCAAAATTACTAGTTGCTAGAGAAACACTACTCAAAATTACAATGATAGAATAATTCAAGCCCGCTAGGATGGCTAAAATAGAAAGACAGACAATAACAAGTGTTGGTACAGACACGGAGAAAGTGGAATACTCTCTCTGCTGGCAGGGATGCAAACTGGGGCCGCAGCTTTGGGAAATGAATTGGTAGCTCCTCTAATATGGTATATGGTAAACACACAACACAGCGTTACCACAGCACCCAGAGAATTAAAAACATTATGTCCAAACACTTGTAAACAAGGATTCATAGGATACATTATTCATAATCAGCAAAAAGTTTAAATGACCCAAATGTTCATCCACTGATGAATGGAAAGACAAAGTGTTGTTTATCTATCCGAGGCAATGTAACTCAGCAGCAATAAGGGGTCAAGTGCTAACACATGGTAGTTGTAGTTTGGAGATGAACCTCAAAATCACTATATTAAGTGAAAGAAGAAGCCAGTGATGAAACACCACGTATCGTATGATTCCATTTATATAACCATCCAGAATGAGCAAATCTATAGAGACAGAAAGTGGATAACTGTGATGAGTAGGAACAGTACTGAATGCTAATGGGCATCGGACTTCTTGTGTAGGGAAAAATGTTCTAAAATTGCGGCAATGGTTGCACAACACTGGCAAGTCTGGAAACACTGAAAATTATACTTTCAGTGGCTGAACTATGTGGTTTCTTTATATTTCAATACAGCTGTTTATGAGTGTATGCATGTTTTTTCATTAATGTCTTCCGTACCTTTCTTTGGCTTCTTTGAGCGCAATTTCAAGTCTCTCCACTTTCTGGTTTTCTTCCCTCAGGCAAAGCAGGAGCTGGCTCACAGTTAATTCCAATTCAAATTCCAAATACTTTCTGGTGCCTTCCACCGATTTGCCCCTACATTAAGATACCACCACCACCACATTCAGTATACAGGTTAAAAGGTTTTCATCAGAAAATGAGAATGTAAGGTCTAAGAATAGCGTAGCCCAGTATAACTGAGACCAACTCAAAGAAATGGTTTTAGGAACTTTCTCCAATCAAATTCTCATCTATTGACCAATCACATCTGGTCCTGTGATCCTCAGGGCCCAGCTCTGCTCTGCCTTCTGGGGAAGTTGTGGGCTGCCTCACTATGCCAGTACTCAACCTCCTCTAACTGGTGTGTGTAAAAAACAGGAGGCCGCAAAACCCACAGAAAGAGTTCAGCAGCCCTAGCGGGAGGTGTCAGGCTCTCCAGACAATTAGTCTCAAGGAGCTCTGCAGCCAAACCAACCCAACAGGCGAAGCAGTCTGGTGGCCTTTCTTCAACCCAACTGAAGCTATCACATTCGCAAGTCAGGAGAAGAAAACCATTTTGGGTTTTTCTTTCAAATAATTGGAGCAGGGAAATGCAGGCACTGTTATCAAGTATTTTTCGCCATTTCAAAATGAGATTGAAGCTGGGTGTGCTGGGGCACAGCCATAACCTCAGCATGCTGGAAGTTGGAGGCAGGAGGGTTACAAATTCAATCCCAGCTTGGGCAATTTAGAGAGACCCTGTGGTGATGTAACTCAGTGCAAAGGCACTAGGTTCAATCCTCAGTACCACCACCAAGAAAAAAAAAGGTGATTGAATCAAGAAAAAATTTAATAACAAAAAAATATGGCTTTAATAAAACATTCAGTGTGACCACGATAACACTAACAATAGCTGCTACTACAGTCATCTACTCAAGCTCACATATCTAATAAGTAGCCAGGATGGAATCCCAGTTACCAGGACTCCCAAAATCTGAACTCCAACTTGGAATCAATCTCAGATTCACAGGATACTCATAAATGGTATAGAGCAGAGCTGTTTTTTTTTTTTTTTTTTTTTGCACTGTGGCCTAAAAGAGGAAGTGGTCTTTGCTTGTGGATATAAATGAGGAGGAAGTGGCTTGAAATTTTCAAACTGTTTTCTTCCCTCTACTTCCAGGAAAGATTTTTGATATTCAGAACAGCAATTTGGGGAAAAGGTGATAAATTTCTAACTGAAAAAGGGTATGATGCTCACTCATGCCAGTGTTTCTGTTTGGATGAAACAATGTTATCTCATACTTACTTTTCCCCAGACCCAGGCTTGGGAACATAGCTGGAAAAAAATTGTTTTTGCCTTTTATAAGTCATTCTCATGTGCTTTCACCAGGTTGTAGAAGTAAAAAACATTTCATCACTTGGAGGACTAAGGCATAAGGATTTTGAGTTTGGGCCTGGTCTGAACTACATAGAGAGACCCTGACCTGGACAGCTTAGTAGGACCCTGACTCAAAATAAATAAAAAGGTCTGACATGCAGCTCACTGGTAGAGCACCCCTGGGCTTGATCCCCAGTAATACCAAAGAAAAAAGAGAAAAGTTTTTAAGGAACAGATCCAGAGAAATCTCCAGACAACTGGCCCAGGGATAGACTGATGATGCCTACCATGCCGCCACTCAGCAGGAGCTCCGGCCTCCTCTGCATGAACTCCACCTACATCCAGTGGTTCAGGCACCCAGTCCTCCCTTCTCTCCCCTCCAGGCCCTCCCATTATTTAAGAGCTCTATTTCCTAGTGTCCACTATGGCTGCAGCATTAAATACCATCCAACATTCTTTCAGAGGTCCTGGTATAAATCAGCCCCTCTTTTAGGCCATCATGTTTGACCTCCATGACAGGTTCAAGTGACAAGCCTGTCTGTCTCTCTGCCTCGTAGCCCCAGTCTTTCAACACATACGCGTCAGAGGAGTCTGTTATTGGGAGCGTAGGACAACTGTTTTTGATTTCTTTCATTGCCCCTTCAGCTTCTTCCTGTAAGAGCAGAAATGAATTTAACAAAATGTGTCTGCAAGACAAATTCTTCATTGAAAGAAAAGACAAAAGATCATGCAACCCAAAGAAATGACCCAACATTTCAATGTGCAGTGATTCAGCTGGGTCTCTCAAGTGGAATGGAAATGGAAATCCCTCTTTCCTCAGGCCCCATGCCCTGTCAGCATTATACATGTCTAGTCTCAGGTGTGAAGGCCATCTCCTGTCACTGAACATAGTCAACCTGACTCCATACAAATGAAAGCTCGGCTCCTCTGCTCTCACCTCGGTGCTCCCTCTTTCCCTGGGTTACAGTCACATAGACTAGTGACAGCTCCACCTGCCTTTCTTCTACAGTCCTTTAAAATGCAAAATGCTAAAATTTACTCAAGCAAAGTTTAAAAAGAGGCAGTTTCCTACACATGATGCTTAAAAAGCAACACTTTTGCCAAGCGAGCTCCCATTAAAAATTTGCACACACCACTCGCTGACTGCCCATTTAGGGAACAACAAGGCTGATAACTCCTGTAAGTAACAGTTCGATCAAGTAATGGAGGAAAGTTTCAAAATGCCCAAAGATGGTACTGGATATTTTGGATACACTTCCTAAATCTTGGGCAGTGTTTTCCTGTTCACAGAAACAAAGCCAGCAAACAGGTTTAACAGTGACTGTCATTCATCTGTGAGGCAGAAAGCGATGGTCACCATCACAGGAGAAACCTCATTTGGAAACTTCTGATAAGTTCTTTGGATTCTTGAGTTTTATCAGTTATTTGCAGGAGCTCCAAGTTTGTTGATCAGAATTCTGTCTCAGTGGTCTTTGGTCATGAACACAAAGATACTCTGGCAAAGTGCACTTTTCAGTGTTGAGTTCAGCCACTGTAATGCACCTGCAGTGCATAGGGGCCTGTCTGCAAAGTCGGTAAGAGCCATTTTCCATCCTATTACATTCTTTTATGCAGCAGGCAAGTAAGAAAGCTCCAAACTAATTTTCCAGACATACCTAGTAGTTTTGGTTTTTGTTCATTCCCCCTGAGTTATCTATATTTTCATTTCTTTCACGGGCACAATTAATCTCTTTTCCTATATCAGATGTATACTTTGATAGAATGACTGCAAGATAAATTCTGTCTTGCAGCACTGACTGCCTGTATCACAGAGAATTGTGCATTTTTCTGCATCTCTGCCCCGTCTTTTTCAGCAGCATCGAAGGAGAGGCGCCTACATTGTTTATGTACCTGCTTTGCTCTTTAACTTGTATGGACACCCAGTTACAGCACAGTGGCCTCTCTATGCGAGCTGAGAATCAGTGCATACCAGCACACTCAGCCTGCTTCGCTTCCTGCATAGGAATCTGAGTTTGGCAGCACTGGTTGCAAACTCAGTTCTGAGAGGTCCCTGAGTGGCTGCTGTTGGGAAGAAAAAAAGCCAGACACCTCTTCTACCCATCTGGAGCACTGCTTCTTTTTTCCCTCTCTTCTCATTTTTCATTACCACAATACTTGAAAAGAGGGTTCCACAATTTAAAAGGACTTAAGAACCTATTCATTTGCTACAGTTGATCACCATGCTGCATACCTAAGTGAATTTCTCAATACAGCTTTTAGACATGGCCTAAAAAATGTCAGAAAATTCATGCTTACAGGTTTTGGGTTGGGCATCTTCTTATGTCAGTCACAAAAATGTCTGCTTTACCAAGACAAATAAGATTATGCCTTTCATCATAAAAGGTAATTTCTGTTTTTTCATTTCAACTAGAACAACCCTCACAAACACTATCTTATAAAAACTGGAACCAATTTATCTTTGCTACAGTAAAAATTCCCCCAGTATGTGGCTTCCCCAAGCTGCTAAGAAATAGTGGTATCTGGTTCATCAGTTTCATCTGTCTAGTGAGACTTTGTGCTTTGCTCAAAATAAAAACCAAATCAGAGCTCTTACGGCCATCCTAATTTCCACAAAGGAGTCTTCACAGGAGCCGCTGGAGTTGAGCTTGAGCTGCAGCTCGGAGACAATGCCCAGCAGGTCTGCCTTTTCATTCTGGAGCCGAGCCACCTTCACTCTCAGCTGCTCTACTGCCTGCTCCGCTTCCACCCTGGGGTCCTGGGGGTGAAGAGGAGTAAAGCAAACAAAGCAGAGTAAGGGCAGGGCCATCCAGCTCCATCCCCACACGCAGACAGGGTGGCTGGCGTCAGCTGGCTCTTTCTTGGAATCATTCAGACAAACCACTTATAGTAGAAATCTTTATTTTGTTGTATTCGAATAACAGAAATTTATACGCACACACACACACACACACACACACACACACACACGTATATGAAGGGGTCCAAGAGATGGAAGGTGAGGCAGGGGAAGGGAAGGAAAGGGAAGGGTATAAAAAAGAATGCAGATGTGTCTGCTTGCACACAGACCAACTCCCAACCATGAATGAATTAATCATTACGTACCACAAGCATGTACCAATAAAGAATAATCAAAATTTAAAATAACTTTATGACCAGAATGACCCACAGCACACTGACAACTGGATATTAGGAAAATAACCCTCTAGAGTTCGACAACAGTAGACTCCTAAGTAGTAGCCCAAATTTCCAGAAAAAAAGGACAAAAAGACTCTACACCCGAATCCCTCGGCTCTTTTCCCCTCAAATATGCCTCTTAGCCCACCCTCCGGCACACTCATTTCCACTTAGGAGCCAGAGCCCCACAGATTGCTCTTGGTTCGGAAGTGGCAAAACAGTGAAAGGCCCTCTGCCCTCCAGTGTGTAAGCTGGTGGGTATATATATAATACTCTACGTTGGCATTTTAAGGCTGCTAAAAGTAAATCTGGTGGGAAACAAAATTTAAAAATCCAGAGGCCCCATGGGCCGGGGATTTAGCTCAGTGGTTCCACCGCCTGCCTTGCAAGCACAAGGACCTGAGTTCGATCTCCGGTACCAAAAAAAAAAAAAAAAATCCAGAGGCCCATATCAAAGGTAAAATACTTAAATTTCAGCTTGCATAAACGCTAATAATAAGCATCCACATTTCACAAGTCTCAAGAGTGTTGCATTCACCCTGTTGCAGTGACAGCACATGACAAAGCCACGGAGAAAGACTCTGGTCAGATGTTTTCACTTGGGAGTAGGGGGAACAGACCATCCACACTCACTGGCTATGGCCCTGAGCAGACTCACTAATGTTTCTGGCCTCAGGTTTCATGGCTTAGGGTTAGAAGATGTGGCACCACCTGGCCTGTGGCATCTTCCAGCAGTGAGTCCAAGCCTCCTGGGTCCCTCCCCAGGAAACCTTGAACAGTGGCAGGACACCATGCTCCATTCCCTCTCAAACTGAAAATATAAGTGCTGTGAGCAGTAGAAAATCACAACATACACACACGCATCTTAAGAGTATAGTGCAAAATAGACCAGCTTTGAAAGAAAGCCCGTAATCACCCTCAGGAATTTATACTTAATTAAATGTGATCACAGAGCCTCTAGGCAAAAAGTCCAACCAGTGATCTTGTGCCTGTAGTCAACACTGTCCATGGGGCCTTTTCTTCTTCTTTTCTCTTTTATTCTGCCCTCTCTAACAGATTCCCCAAGGAATACAAAACATGTCCAAAGGCTTATGGTGGAACCAAAGCAGAATGAGTATGGATGGCCATAAACCTGCTAGTCCCAGGGTCATGTTCTCCTTTCCCATGCAGCAGTCCCTTATGGGGAACTACCACAGGCCTCGGCCAAATGCAACTCATGTGAATCTGGAGTTAGGTTTTGGACAGAAGTCTATGTAAGCTCTCTGGGTAATGACTCATATAAAAGGAACACATTTAAAGAATGAAAAATGAGAGTCAGGCATGGTAATGCATGCCTGTAATCCCAGCATTTGAGGCTGAGGCAGGAGGATTGCTGGGAATTTGAGGCCAATGTGGACTACTTAGTGAGTTCAAGGCCAGCTTGAATTACATAGCAAGACCCTGTCTCAACAAAACAAAAGAAACAAGAATGAAGATGATAAAAGGATAGGTACTGCTTAGCCTGGAACCAGGAAGCACCTAGGCAGATAAAGGCAAGACTACATCTTACTAGGAAATGTTAGGTGTACCCTCCTGGCCTATGGACTTTTATGCACCTTGGTATAAGGGTAGAAGGATAAAGGGAAACAGTTTTAAATAAGTGTCTGAGGACCAGTGTCTAAGGTGGCAACACTGAAACCTCAAGATTATTAGGCTAATTTTCTTTGTAATCATCCCTGGGAAATCATGTTCACTTATTTGGCCCTAAAGCACTGTAAGATAACTTCTGCTTCCTTTCATTTTACTGCTGAGACTGGGTCTCTCCGTTCCTTTCCTAGACTGGAGCTCCCATGGTCTCTCTGCTCTCCACTCTGCGTCCACTGTTCCTCCCTCTGTCAGTTCTGAACTCTCAGTTCCAGGCAGCACCGCTTCAGCACCGCTTCTCTGCCTCTGCGTATCGGCGTCATCTTCCTGGCCTGCTGCCTGAACACGTGCCCAGGTTAACACACGGCACCCGAGGAAAGGCTGCTCGTGAACTTTGTCTACATGTAGGTGCAGTAGTACTCTGGACAGGAGGAGTTCGATGCAGCTTGTGTGAAATCAGATGGAGCTCTTTCACCCAAGTGATCGTCCAGGGCTGTCCAGCCAGCAGTGGTGGCACACACCTATTGTCCCAGCACTCAGGAGGCTGAGGCAGGAAGATCACTGGAGGAGACCAGCCTGGACTACATAGCGAGATCTTGTCTCAAAACAAAACAAATCAGCCATCCAGAACTCCAGGTTCTGATCTCAGCTTCTTCCAATTCTAGAACTTTTTAGGAAAACCTAGAGGCAGACTATCTCCAAAAAGACAAACTGTTCTGGAAGCCTCCCTCTTGGGTTCAGTGTGGTAGGCACCTGAAGACTAAGGCCAACTGTCAGCTCACATTCTAGAATTCAAGGAAGGAAAATAATGTAAGCTAGTTTCTTCCAAAAAGTGGAAAATATATACTGTATCTCAGGTGATCATTTCTTCAGAGAATTCTACCTCAAAAATATTTAGCGAATTGGAGATTTTCCCTGTCAAAGAAGGAACTTAATGCTCTCTGAACTGTAAGATACAGTGAAAGATCAGGCATGATAAATCTTATTAACAAAGAAACACTTCCAATGCAAATACGTTTATACAAGAAGAATGTTCACTGCCTCATGGGCGGGAGCTAATGAGACCTAAGTCACTCTTCAATGCTTTAGATTATTCTACACCATTCCCTCCTTCTGCCCAGTCTGCTGTCCATTTAAGTTTCTTTGTTTCTATTCTTTACCACACCGAGAAAATAGAGATCAACAGAGTTCCAGGAAAAATCGTGGATATTTTGTTATCAATATCACAACCACTCCTCCGAAAGGTTAAGTACCAGGTGAGGCAGAAAACGGGCATTTGCTTGTGGGAGCCTTGGCGAGTGGCAGGGACTGCAGACACCCTCCTGCCCACTTTCCCTGCCACCTTTGCCATCCACTCAAGCATTCCCAAGTTCTTTGGATCCACAGAAAATGTATGTATTTCTCCCTTTAACCAGAGCGACCCTAGTCAGGCTCCTGTCACAACAGGGCCTTTGTCAAGTGAGTGCTCAAAATGACACTTAAAGTGAATCATCTCTATTTTAGATGGAGAAAACAGAGCTAGTAAAACTCTGAGTAATAGATTTTTAAAATGTAATTTCTTATCAAAGCCATACGTGAAAAGTAAGCATTGGATGGTTTTAGGCAGAGGTCCTTCTGTACCATCTGTAACAAATCACTGATTTATAAGCTCAGTGTTCTTTTGGCTACAGTACGGTTAAAGATTTACAATTTCCCTACCCTCAACAGAGATTACACCGACCATAAATTGCAATCAATCTTTCTAGCAAAAATAATCCTCGGGCCAGCCCAGCCTGAACAATGGAAGGGGTCTAGATAAATAAGACTCTTCTGCAGATATTAAGAAAGTAAATCACAGCTGATCGGTCTGCTCACCTCTAATGATCTTCGTGATTCCCTTCTTAGTTTTTCGAGCTCATCCTTCAGTTTTTCGTTTTCGTGACTCAAGGCCATCAGGCGCTCTTTGGCTTCTCTGCTCTGCATCTCGAAGAGCTGGCGTTCTTCCTTCTGTTTCTCTGTCCAGGCTGAGAGCTCCTCAAATCGCCCTTTCATAGCTTGATTGTTTAGCCTCATGGCTTCTGAAAGGGATTCGGAGTGAGGGAATCACACACCAGGGGCCTGGCAGAACTTCAAGCTTCAGTGCTCCCCATTGCCTGGCTCCGAATCTGAACATGTCAGGCTCGGCTGACACTGCAGGGTCAGCAGGGAAGAGGCGACAATCAGCTGAGGGCTTTTCGCTTCCAGACAGGACTAGCACCATTTCTCATCCTTAAAAGACCAAGTAGCTGGGCACAGTGGTACATGCCCAGCTACTCAGGAGGCCGAGGCAGGAGGGTTACATGTTCTAGACTAGCCTCAGCAACTCTGAAAGATGCTGTCTCGGGAAAAAAAAAAAAAAAAAAAACCC